ATTCTTCTAGAACACGGCCTCACAGCCTGAAAAACCCAGAAAAACCTATGGATGCTGGCTGTGAAAGCCTTCAACTTCACATTGTCAGGAAGTTCTTCCTAATGTTGAGGTGGACTCTCTTTTCCTGTAGGGTTTTCTGGGTTTTTCAGGCTGTGAGGACGTGTTCTAGAAGAATGTATTTCTAACATTTCAAAGAATCCTAGAGTTGGAAGAGACCACAAGGGCCATCCAGTCCAACCCCCTTCTGCCATGCAGGAACTCAAAATCAAAGCATCCCCGACAGATGGCCATCCAGCCTCTGATTAAAGTCTTCCAAAGAAGGAGACTCCATCACACTCCGCCTGCATCTGTGGCTGGCATCTTTAGATCACCCTGAGCACTCCTTGCAGGTCAGATTCAAAATTTTGGCCACTGAGCCACACTGAACAGGAAGTCACTAAAACCAGCCCCAACACCAGCAACACTCTGTTGCCTTCTGTTCAGGCACATAGATCTTATTTTAAAACACTATAATGTATGTTAAAATTTAAAACATACAAAAGTTAAAAACACAATCTAAAACAACAACACACACCCCAAAAAAATAAAACCAGGCTTGCATGATTTTAAAAAGATCTTCCTCTTGTCACCTCACAGGTGGATGGGCAAAGTTCAACAGAAGCTGATCTTTGGTTTCTTTTTAAATTATAAGCTGCCTTGAGTTCCAGTTTGGGGAGGAAAGCTGGGATTTAAACAACATCATCATCATCATCATCATCTAACTGGATCAAATATGCAAATATAAGATGTGTGACACCAGGTTTGACAGCAGCATGTAAGAAATTGATCTAGAGATCTTAAGAGACTACAAGAGAAATATGAGTTGACTGTGTGATGTAGTGGCCAAAAAAAGGGCAAAAAAGGCAAGTCTCACTCTCTCAGCCTCAGAGGAAGGCAATGTCAAGCCCTAAGAGAGACAGCATGGGGTAGTGGTCTGAGTGCTGGACTAGAACTCCAGGAGACCAGGGTTCAAATCCCCACTTGGCCATGGAAACAATTACTCCAATCACATTCACTCAGCCTCAGAGGAAGGCAATGTCAAAAACTCCTCTTGCCAAAAAAACCCTAAGATAGAGTTGTCACAAGTTGGACTGTACTGTTTTCAATTCCTTTTTTTATTATTTGCAACTGCATGTTTTAAATGTTATTGACTGTTCCAAGTCCTTTTCAAAGTTGACCTTTTGTACGTTTTAACTATATGGTGCTGAGTTTTCTGTGGGTCTTTTGAGCTGTGTGGCCACACTCTGGAGGAATTTATTCCTGATGTTTTGCCTGCATCTGTGGAGAGACCCTCTCACTGCCGCAGGGGTCTACCGCAAACCTTGCAGCTGCAGGCAAGCCTACATAAGGACCACCAAATGCAGCATCCAAACATGAATCAAGGGACACGAGGGACACTGCAGACTGGGCCAGCTAGAAAAATCGGCAGGAGCAGAACACGTCACAAACCAACCTGGACATAGAATGCCATTTGAAAACAATTAAATTCTGGACCATGCCAACAACTATCAGGTCAGAATGCACAGGGAAGCCATTGAAAACCACACCTGGATAACTTCAACAGGAAAGAAGAAACCCTTGAAGTAAACAAAGTTTGGCTATCAGTCCTGAAAAACACAAAAATCAAGACTCAACTCATGCAATGAACTTCATTCAGGGTTAGGGGGTTTCCCCCCTTGTAGACAATGGATTGCTAATTAAATAGACACAAATCCCCCTCCTCCACACAACACATCATTCAGTACAGTACAACACACAAACTAACTCCACCATTGACCAAACAAGGGTTACACAGGTATATATATACTCCACACACTTCCATGCCACCAGCCTCTGAAGATGATGCAAAGCAAAAGCAAAGCAAAGCAGCTTCATTTATATACCGCTTCATGGGATGTTTAAGCAGTTTACAACTGTAAGCTCATTGCCCCCCAACAATCTGGGTAC